CCCAAAGGGCCCCTGAATTGCCCCCTGCATGGTCCCTAAGGAAAATAAGGATAAAGTTCTGCCCACTGCCCACGCTCTATCCCACAAGGTACAACAGGGTACAAGGAGAAAAGGAAAGGGCAAGCCAGGAGGAGGACCTCATGCATCTGGGGAGAACATGGAGGGGGCTGACAGGCATTGGGTGGAATAAAGTGACATCCCGAGAAAGGGGAGGAGACGGAGACCTGCGGGAGCCTGCGTGTGTGTGTGTGTGTGTGTGTGTGTGTGCACGCATGTGTGTATGGGTGTGTGAAGAGTCACTCATTCCCACATTTCCTAAGGGCCACTGTGCTGGGTATTGTGCTAATAATAAGCAAGGCAGGGTGGGGGTGGGGAGCCATAAGAAGGGAAGAGGCCACACACCCAGAGGCAAGGAAAGGTTTAGGAAACAGGATGCTGAAACCAGTGAGTTGCTAGGGAAGAGCAGGGAAAGAGACACCCCAGCAAAGCTGGAACAGTAGAGGTACTAGGAGATCTGGGAGAGAGTGGGAGGGAGGATGTTCACTCACCCGAACCAAGTAGGAAACCCCGGGTCCCATGACTTTGTCGTTGGGATGCAGCCAGCCCCGCGTGGGCTTATTGACAAAGCTCCCGTGGCGGGTCCACTCCTCGCCCCCCAGCTGGCCCCCTTCCACCCGAGTCCTGCGCCCGCCGCCTCCACTCAGCTTGTTCATGTCCTGGAGGAGGGGCAGGGGGCCTGAGTCCGGCAAGGCTGCTCCTATGGTCCCCTCCCCATCCTCAGCTGCCCTTCCTGGCTCCCCTTTCGGGCCAGAGCGCCCCCCAGCTGGGTTGGCTAGCTTCAGGTTGCTCATCCGGGGGAAGAAGGAGCACAAGGTGGTGGGGCTGTTGTCCCCAGGCAGAGGTGGCAGGATGGGCCCCAGGGATGAGGCTGAGGGGGACGGTAGCTCCTCCGGTGGAGTGGACCCTGAAGCCCCCTCCTCCAGCGATGACAGAGACTCATTCCGGAGTGGGTTGTACTTGGGCTTGGGTGGCAGGAGATCCATGGCTGGAGTGAGAAGGAGGTTGCTGCCCAGCCTGGCCCCCCTGCCAGTCTGAGGGCAAGGGGGCCAGGCAGGGGGCATCCCCAGGCCCTTAGCCTAACCTGACCGCCAAGGCCCTGGAATCTCAGGAGTTTTGGGGAGGGAGCGGGACAAGTAGTTCCCACTCCCTCAGCTCAGGCCCAGACAGTTTCAGGACCCATCCCTGCCCAACCCAGCGTGGAGTCTCTTCTCAGGCGGAGAGGAGAACAGGCAGGACTAGAGCTGCCTGGCTCCTCCCCTGGGGGCGGGGAGCCAAAGAGAAAGACCAATGGTGAGGACAGTGCTGACTCACAGGCTCCGAGGGGCTGAGCCTCCACCTCTGACCGGACACCGGACTCTAGCAGGGGTGGAGCCTCTCCACACCCCCAGCCCCAATATAAACAGTTAGTGATCCTGGAAGGGGGTAGGTCAGGATGGGAAGGAGGGAGGGACAGAAATGGGAAGGAAAGGAGGATGATAAGATGAGGACTGGATCAATCCAAACCGGATATGGGCAGGCCAAAGAGAGCAGGAAGCTGGAGGGGAGTAGGGGGGATAGGGGAGGAAACAGAGGCAGCTGGGGATGGAAAAGGGAGGAGGATCCCTGAACTCAGCATTTCCCTTCCAGTCCTGGCAGAATACTCAAATTCCTCCCTTCTCCAGCCCCAGCCACCACACTCCCACACCAGACTGGGGGTGGTGGCCCCAGGGAGCCTGGGCCATTAGCGTCCACAGCCACAACAGCTGTGGACTAGAGCTAAAGAAATGGGGAAAGGAAGTGGTCCCAGTGGATGCAGAGAAAAGCCAAGGAAAAAGCTGGTGAAGTAAGGAGGACACAGTCCAACCTGGGTGAGCATGAGGGAGCAGAAGCTGAAGCTGAAGCTGTGAAAGCCTTATTCTCCACAGTTGGCATCATCATGCCAAGGAACAATGGACATGGCCAAGCACGGTTCTATCCCCCCGTCCATGGGCCTAGTAGTAAAGAAAGCTGTCCAGGGTAGAAATGGAAGGCCAGGTTGCTAATACTAAGTCATTTCTTTGGCCCTGCCAAGCATGCTCATACCCTCCTCTTGCTGAGAGACTGGGAAAATGCAGTGGCCACCACAGAGCACACAAGGGGTGAATGTGGCTAGAGGAGGGGGGAAAGTAAAGCAGTTCTCTCAGAGAAGTGAAGGATACAAGCCTTGAAAGATTAGAGGAGGTAGGAGACAAATCCATGTGAAGTACAGGAAAAAGGGGTGCCAAAAGATGGACATAGGAAACAGTTCCTAACCCATTCTTTCCACCCACAGCTTTCTGCCACCGTTCTGCTTGATAAAGTCATAGAAGATAAAAGTGACCAAAAAGAAGTTGTAAAATACATGCTTCCCCCCCCACACACACACCTAGGAGTTACCCACAAAATAACCATATGGTTACAATGATTAACAAAACCGCCAGTCGGGGCCTCCCTGGAAGCTCAAGGGGCTTAGTCTCAGCACTATGAAGCTGTCCACAGCCACTGCAGCAAAGCTCAACCCAAGGCCAGGGAGCTGACCCATATGGCGCAGCAGACCTCTCCAGTCCAATCTACTGCTCCCCTCAGCAGTGTATTCCAGTGGATCTGCCTGTTCTGCTACCTACTCTGCCTCTGGTGAACCCTCTTAAACCTTCCCAACCCCCCTCCCCCCAGCCTTTGGACTACACCCCATCTCACATGTATAAATAATAAATCTTTTTTTAAAAGACAGCACTTAAAATATGTTAGATACTGTGCTAAATAAATTCTTTCATCTCTTTTTTTAAAAAGATGTATTTACTTATGCATACAAGAACTGGGGTACAGGCCAGAGGTGTGGAGTGAGGGGATCCACCAGAGACAAAGAGGGGAGGAGCACAGGCAGAAATACACTGCTGAGAGGAGCAGCGAGAAAGACAGGTCTGCTACACCCTGTGGGTCAGCTCCCTGGCTGTGGATGGAGCTCATGCTATAGTATCTGCTAACAGCTTCATAGTTCTTAACCACTTGCACCACCTGGGAGGCCTTCTCTTCTTAATCCTCATCCCAGGAGAGCTTTGTCACTCCCTCCATACACCACTACAAATATGGATTCTACTACTGCTTCCTAAGGCCTTACCTCAAAGAATGAGAGGATTCTACGGTAGCCTCATATCCCCAGAACACATCATGATTTCATCTTTAGAGATAGGCCCTTAGTGGGAGCCTGCAGAATCCAGCAGGGACTGACCAACAGGTGTGGACATTTGGAAGCAAGAGGAAGTAGAACTGTATAGAAAGAAAGGACATCACCTACAGGTGACTGGATGTTGAGAAGAGACTGCATGTGGCTTCTCAGCCCTTAGGGAGGAGGCAAGAATAGCGGGAAGTAGCAGGAAATGGCAAAGCCTCAGGAATGTTTCCAAAAGGGAAGGCTGGGCTAGTGGAACCAGGAGGAATGCCCAGCGGAAAAGTCTAGTTGGGGGAGGAGTGCTGGGGGCCCAAAAAAAGCCATTAAAAAGTAAAACAACAGAAAGGCACTAGCCTACACGCATTCTAAGCCACCATTTTCTGGTGAGAGAAAGCTCTTGCTCCCATAACACCCACATGACACACACTAACAAATCCAGGGCCTTACCACCTCTCAAGGGGCAGGTATGAGATGTAACAGTTGTTTCTGGGATATAGTCAGTCCAGGGAAAGGAATCTCTGGGAGTGTGGCTGGGTATCTATGAGCAAGTCTTTCTCCCACTTTCGTACCAAATCCTAATTCCAGCCCATTGGTAAATCCACCTTTAGAAAAGGATAAAGGGAAAGAAAGGGGCTGCCTCTAATCTCTCACCCCTCAGGGCCACAGCTGGGACTTTTGACTATTCTACCCGTGGAGCATGAGTGATCAGGAAAATTGGGCCCAGGACCCAATAAAGAAAAAAGAACAGAAAAACGTAAGCATGTGCAGTTTACGAGATGGAAGACAAAATCTGGAAGGGGAAGACCAGAGCCCGAGAGGGATAAAGCTCTTGGGGGGCAGGGGGTGTGGTCCCCTAGGACGCGTGCGTCAGAGGCTTCTAGGTGGCGAGGCTCCAGGACCACCAGACGTGGGTTAAGGAAGAGGCGGGGCCTCTATAGGGGCGGGGTCCGGTAGAGGCGGGGCTTCACAAATTCGAATAGTTCTTTGAGGGGCAGGGCTCTCCCAGGCTGGGAGACAGGCTTTTACACAGTCAAGTTAGCGGACAGTTGTCGCGAACAGGCGCAATTTCGGAGCATTGGAAGGGCATAGGATTTCCAGTAGTAGGGCTGGAAAGCGTTTTTGGGGGTGGGGCTTCCAGGGAAACTAGGGGACAGGGTGGAGTCGAGGACCAGAAATAAAAAACAAGTGGGGGTTCGGGGAGCCCCTGCAGTTGGGAGGTGGGACTTCCGGAGAGGGGTCTCAGGGGGCGGGACTTTTAGGCGAAGACCGGAAGTAGGGTCCCGGGAGAGGGGTTCCGGGGTGAAAGAGTGGATCGCCTAAGGGGAAAAAAAGCCCACTCACCAGGGCCTCATGGAGTCTCCGAACCGCACCGCGGGACGATTTGGTTCCGAATCAAGTCACTGCCTCCTTAGTTCGCCGCTCCAACTTTCTCCTCGGGCCCAGCCTCCCTGGAGAAACTTTATTGCACTCACTTCCGGCCTCACTAACCCCTGACCCTCTACCTCACCGTCCCTCCTTTCCCCCAGCCCACTTTTCCCTAATCAGCCAGTGGCAACGCGAGAACGCGCACGGGAGCAGAGCTAGCCAGTAAGAGGCCTCGGTTTTACCTACGCTCCTTCTTGAGCAACGTAAGAACTACTCTCCAATGAGGGCTCGAAATGTCGGAAATATTAACCAATCGGAGGCTTGAACAAGGAGATGTCCCGCCTTAGGCCAAAGGAACCAATAGTGAATGCAGGCGGTGTGTTTGAAAGCGAGGCCAAAGAGGGTGGGAGCGCGTGCTTCTGGGAGTTGCTTGGAGGTTGGCGGTGCAGGGCCGACGGTCCTAAGAGTGATCATGTCCCACAAACAAATTTACTATTCGGACAAGTACGACGACGAGGAGTTCGAGTACCGGTTAGTGCCGGCGCGGGGGCCGTAACGAGTTCGCGAGCTTTGACAAGTGAGGCAACGAGGAGTTATTAACTAGGACTGAAACTACAGAATCAGCGCATGCGCGCGAGATAAACCCGACGGGTGTGCTGTTGAGGGGCGTGAGGCGCACGCGCGAAGGCGGTGGCCAGGATTGCCAAATAATAAAATAGTGAATTTGGAGTAAAACTGGGAGGAGGGATAAGTGGGCGTAGCTACAGTATTTGCGAGTTGACCACCTTCACTCTAGCGTGGTGGTAAATCATTCTCCCAACTTTATTGCGCAACTTGGACTTGTATTCTCAAAACTGCTCATATCACAGCAACACCATAGAACCATCGAGTCTACTGGGAAAAGGTGACAGTGGCAGAGGTGGAATTTTCTGCTCGTTCTCAATGAGACGAGTTCTGAACACCTGCGTTGCTTATTCGTGGTGTGGGAAGGGGCGTGGTGTGGGGCTTGTTTTTGGAAGTGGGTTCGGGTAATAGGAGTAGAGTGAAATTAGCCAGAACTTTTGAGAAAAGACTTAACATCAACCCAGTATGTTCGTACTTAGGAAGCAATTAAGAGTGCATGGGTTTCAGGTGTTCTGCTAAAATTAACGGGGATAGGCCATGGTCTGCTTTCAACAAATCTGTTAATATGTGAAAGTAATGACAGGCTTGAAGTGGTAGATAACCATAAGAGAGATATGCACGATATAATGGGAGCACATAATACTTGCCAAGGATGGTGAAGAAAGGAACTCTTCTGGGTTTGCATTTGATAAATCCTAAATCCATAATTCTGGACTGGAAAATTAGGAAACAAAGAATTATACGAATGCTGGCATTCCATGAATATGTATCAAATGCTTAAATAATTAAAACAACTCCGTAGTTGTATCTCGTTTTCTCAGTTGAAGAAAATAAAATGGAAACTTGCTATTCTTGTGCAAGTCTCTAGAGAATTCGGTGGGTGTTGATAAGTATATATGCATCTTTATGCAAGGTTCTTGGGAAAAGACCCCAAACTTGGGCCCAGTTTAACTTTCTCTTTCCCAGCTGTTTTTCTGTACCTCTAAATTAAGCTAACTAAAGCAGTATGCTTATAACGTCTTTGTGAGGCCAGGGAGAAGCCATTGTTTTCCTTCCCCGGAAGATTGTCTTGACCATGGCATTTAGTTTAGTTTTGTCTAAGTATTAAAACCAAACTTTGTGCCAGGGGCTTATTGGAATGTAATCTATTTTCAGACACTTAGACAGGAATGATCTCTTTGGGAAATCCTGTTACTGGCACAGAGAGGGCTACATTTAGTACATTTTCTTCGTACCTGAAGAAGCCTATCTGGGTTAGCTTGATTCAAGTCGGAGTTACTTCTTTGCCATGAAAGGAGACATATCTTTGGTTAGAAAGTGTGAAGTCTTCATCGTACATCCTTTCAGAGGTAGGAAAATGAGATTCAGAGAATAGATCTTAAAAGATAACGTTTACATTTCATCCTTTGTGGTAGCTCTTCCACACAGCGCATCTATGGCTCTCTTGCACAAATTACTTCTCTCCTGCCTAACCAGTCCTTTAGTTATTAACTCTGTGCTGTGAAGCTCCCTTTAAAGTTGCTTTAGAGTAATCAACTAGAGACTAAGCTCCAGGAAGGCAGAGGCAAGAATGTATCAACAGTGCCTGCAATTTAGGTTCCCCTTCTTAAATCATTAAGTTGTACTTTTTCATGATTTATTTTTGAGAGGATTTACGTAAGTTGGCCTGTATTCCCAGTTGCCTCTATCCCACAATAAGATTATATAAACTCCTTGACATCAGAAACTGATTTTTCTCTCACTTCTTGTGCAGGCACTTGTCTAACAGACTGCTATCCAGTACTGACACAAATTTCCCACCTTCTCCTGTTTCTGTTACAGGCATGTCATGTTGCCCAAGGATATAGCCAAGCTGGTCCCTAAAACCCATTTGATGTCTGAATCTGAATGGAGGAATCTTGGTGTTCAGCAGAGTCAGGGATGGGTCCATTATATGATCCATGAACCAGGTCAGTGCAATGGTGGAAGTCAGCTATGTAGGTCTGCTTCACTGGGGCAATAAAGGGATAAGGTTGATAACCCAAAGAAATAGGGTGAAGTGAGACTAGTTTATTGGTTTCTCGTATGACCAATCTAGAGAAATGGAGTGACCAGAAATAAGAATACAAGTATCTAAGTATCTGGAATATTAAGGGACAGACTCACACTGGGAAACCTCCTTTAATCTCTAGCTCAGTCAGGGTTCTTTTTTTTTTTTTAATACCATGTACATGTGGTAGTGGTTTTCGCCTCTACTTCATTCTCCATCAGAAAACAAATTATTGGATGTGTTCCAGATAAGCCAAGAAAATATTTTTCTTGATAAGACTAGGCACCAGACGCCAAGCGGTGAGGCAGAACTAATAAAGGGCACCCAGGGACTGTACAAACATAACAAAAAAAACCCTGAAGTTAAGAGTTCTGGGTGAGTTTCTAAGGCCATGTGCTTAGATCTCAATTTAGTTATAAAGATCTGAGTGGGTGATATCTGGGAGGTGGAGGTGGGATACACTGTAGATTGTACACAGAATGAAATGGTGTGAGCTTGCCTCTTAGATGTCACTCATTCTTTCAGAACCACACATCTTGCTGTTCCGGCGGCCTCTGCCTAAGAAGCCAAAGAAATGAAGTTGGGGAGCCACTTTTCAGCCTCAAGCTTTACACAGCTGTCCTCACTTACTAACATCTTTCTGATAACATTACTGTGCCTTGTTTCTCACTTTGATATGTAAAGGATGTTCATTAACACTGAGTGTGCTGGTGACTGCTTTACTGCTTGAGCAGAGCCACCAGCATCACGGCCCAGCCAGATCAGTGTTCCTGGGCTACAGTCTCAGCTGAGTGTGACCCCATAAGTCATGGTGAGGAAGCATCTGAGACCAAGTATCTGTTACAGGGATTGTGTAAACTTGCTGTCTTGTTTTTTCCTGCCAGGTATTATAAGTATGATGATTTATGTTTCATTGTGTTGGAAATTCCATTTTATTCAAGAAATTGTTCCATATTGAAAGCCTTGATTAAAGAGGAGGTTTTTATAATCGAAGTCTCCGTAACAATTTTCCCCTCTCCAATGAGCATCACATTACATATCATGGTCGAATTATATGCCCTTGTATTAGATAATGAACTTCAGCTTCTACTGATAATGAGGCAATGCTTGGGTAACATTTCATCAATCATTATTGGTTTTTAATCTACTTTAAAGCAGACTTGCTATCAGATACCTACTGAAATATATTTTACTCCATTAACCTGAGACAGAAATTATATAGGGACAACAACTCATCAAAACAAAGGAACTACTTCCTATAGTTAGGTATGGTGCTAATGGGCTTGGTATTTGAAGGGTACTGAGGATGACGAGTAAAGGCTGTCAGCAGGAGACTGCTGGTACACCCCACTTCCTGCCTGGCCTAAGACTAAAGCATAGCTTTGACCTGTTCGCTGCACATTGGTTAGAGGTATTTCCAGTGGTCCTTGAGTTAACTGAGCATTGGAATTACCTGGTAGCTTTGAAAGTACTGATGCCTAAATTGTTCCTAGAAAAGCTGACTTAACTGATCAGCGGTGTGGCTTGGTTGTGGAAGAATGCAGCCTTGTTTTGCAGGTAATTACATAGAATTAACCTTTGAGAAAACAGGTGTAAACTGTAGCTGTGTGAAAGAACACTCTTTAAGAGTCGCATCTCTTTAAGAGTCGCATACTCTTTTTAAGAGGATAATATTGAGGGAGCTGAATCTCCCCTCTTCTCCCTGTCTTCGATCCATTTATTCTTTCTCAAGTGTGGCCCCTGGAAATTTGTGTCAATCCTTAGGCTCCACCTAGCCCTATGGAATCTGAAGCTGAGGGGTGGGTCTTTTTACTTTTTTTTTTTTTTTTTAAGATTTATTCATCTGTGCATACAGAACTGGGGCACAGGCCAGAGGCTCAGGGGCGGTGAGAGGCCTCACCAAAGACAGAGCGAGGAGCAGAACAGGCAGATCGACGAAGTACACTGCTGAGGGGAGCAGCGGGTGGGTCAGGATAGGTCTGCCATGCCATGTGGTCACCTCCAGGGCAGGCGGGAAACGAACTCATGCGGAAGCGGCTTTAAAATCTCAGTGCTGTGCTCCAACCCGCTGTGCCACCAGGGAGGGGCCGGTCTTTCTCCATTTTAATGACTATACATGTGGTCCTGGTTACACTCAAGCTTGAGAATCCACTGATTTGAAGCTGACCCACAGCAGATGTTTTGGATTTTATTTGGAGTATTGGGAGTAGAGGGCAAATATCACCATTCCTAATACAAATAATGGAACATATGACATGTCATTAGGCAAAAGAGACTATTATTTTGCCTTTTTTTTTTTTTTTTTGAGCAGAGTTTTAACTGAAACACAGGACTTACACTTGAAAAAAAATTATCTGGAAGCCTGGCTCTATCATTCACTTTGTTTCGTGGTTGCTTGGTATTCCTTCAACCATTCAGAGCCTGTTGTCTATCTTTAAGACAGACAGCATATCTACCATTAAAAAAAAAAAAAAGCTTTATTTATTTTACACATATAAGAGCAGGGGTATAGGCCAGAGGTGTGGGGAGAGGGTGAGAGGATTCACCAGAGACAGGGTGGGGAGCAGTGGATAAGACAGGAGAGGTCTGCTGTGCCATGTGGGTCAGCTACCTGGCCAGGGACCTAACTCCTGCTGCAGTGGCTACGGACAGCTTGGTAGCTGCAACTTAACCTCTGAGCCACCAAGGAGGCCTGAATCTATCATCTTAAAGGATTTTTAGGAGTAAAATGAAACCCACTGTGGATCAGCAGTCCTCCAAGTGAAGAAGGTTAGACCTTTTCTACAGAAAACAGACACACCACATCAGCATGACATGAACTTATTAAAGACAGGTCTCAGGGCTCACACAAACTACCTGAATCAGTTACATTTAATAAGCATATGAAGTAAGTCCCAGATGATTATTATGAACCAAAGGCACCTGAAAGGAGGGGGTCTTGAGAGCTAGGATGATGTGAAAACAAAGTGCATACATAGCGCTCCCTAGTTGATACCCTAACTTGTACAGAACTAATCAAGAAAGTGATGTTTAAAATAAGCGCCTTAGAGGGCAAGCCTTTTTTGTCAAAATAATTAGCTTTATCGCTTATTGTAGAGACAAAGTTCCAAACACGAAGTGTTCACCTCCTAAATCTCCCTGACTGGCAATGCTGCAATTATTCTTGGTGTTTCCTCAATTTATAGCTACCATCTAAAGTCCCTATTGGCGCCAGCCTCAGCCCCGACCCCTAGCCAAGATGTCATGGTTAACCAAAGCAGATGGCAAGTGCATACAAGCATTTAATAAAAAACGGAAATTTGAATCAAATGTCACTTCTAGTGACAAGCTGGAGAAGTGCACCACCAAAGGCAGCTCCTGCCACGCCCCAGACCTAAAGTGGTCCGCCCTAGGGCGAGAAGCCCCGCCCCTGTGAACCTAGGGCCGGCCCCCACGTTTCCGGTGAAGGATGACCACGTGGTTGTCTCCAATAACAACCTAGCACTGCTCCCGCCTTCTAGCTAAAGCTCTCGAGCGACAGTGGACTACACCAATAGATCCTTAGAGGTAGTGTGAGCGACAGCCAAAGTGACCAACTAATATGAGGTAAGTGTAATTCTAAGGCGGGACTCTGAGTACGGAAGCTGCCCCGGGACATGGTGAAAGGAGAGGGAAAGACTCCGTGAAGGGGCAAATGAGACAGGTGAGAATCTGGAAGAACTCAATAACCTGGTGGGGAAAGCTACGATTCCGGGATAGAAAAGGTGCAAGAGTCTGTAAAATAAAAGACGCTGAATTCTGGTCCGGGGTGGAGGGAAGGAACTTATTTAAAGGGGCCAAGGCCCTGAATGAGAGACATTTAAAGGGACAGTTGCCCCAAAGAGACGTTTAAAGGAGCAGATGCCCAAGATAGAGCAGACATTAGAGGAACGGAGCTTGGCAGGCAGAATGCAACTAATGTGGCAGGTGAGCAGGGGAGCACGAGATTTAAGGAGACTAGAACCAAACTGTGGAGACATTGTAAAAGGCATGGGTCCGGGTTTGAGAACACAATTTATTAAAGAGATAGTGAGAAAGCATTTGCTTGTCAAGGGCTTGGTTAGGAAGAACATCCACCCCTGCTCTTCTCTTCCCCATTTCTGAATTCCCATTTCTTGGCTCCTTGGATTCCCTGTTCCCAGGCTATGGTCTCCAGTGTCCTGTAGACCTGGCGGGAGCTCCATGGTTTCGACCCCTACTTGGGGGTTTAGGTGGCTACTGGAGGGCCTTGCAGAGGGGCAGAGAATGCAGGACCATGGCATCTAGGGCCTCTGAGCCTCTTCCAAGGCGCAGTGTGACAGCCGGCATCATCATTGTTGGAGATGAGATCCTCAAGGTGTGTCTGGGACGGAGGAGGGAGGAGGGAGGAGGGTGTGGCTTTATCCTATCCTAGTTCTCAGGGAGGGTAACCAGGGTGGGAGCTACCTTCCTGCTGTAGGGTCTTGGAGTGAGTCCAGCATAACAGAGGAAAGTGCCCTTCATTTTTTCAACTATTTTGAAAAACTTGTAACAGTATTGTAGGAGGAGGAGGAAGGGCTTTACAGAAATGACAAAGTGTGCAGCTGAAAAGAAAGTAGAATGTGAGTATTACTTTAAGTGTTCATTCCAGTCTATTTGGAAAACGACTCAAGGCTTTCAACAGAATGGATAAAGTGAGATAGAAAGTGCTAGTAGGGAGAAATCCTTCTGCATGATCACGTAGGTCTTACCAGAGGACATGGTAGGCATCAGATTCATTATAGTAATTATTTTTTAGATTGATTTTATTTATGCATACAAGAACTGGGAGGTGTAGGCCAGAGGGTAAGAGGATTCACTAGAGACAGAGTAGAAAGCAGAACAGGAAGATCTAGTGAGATACACTGCTGAGGGGAGCAGCGGGTGAGACAGGAGAGGTCTCCTGTGCCATGGGGGTTAGCACCCTGGCAGGGGAAGGAACTTATGACCCAGTGGCTGGTGGCAGTGGTTGGCAATAGCTTGATAGCACTGACTTTAACCCCTCTGCCACCAGGGATCCCCATCGTAGTAATAATTGACCTCTCTTTTTGAGTGCTTATTAGGGCCTGGCAGTGTGCTTTTCTTTTTATCACATGTGTGATTTTTCTAACAACCCCAAGAGGTTGGTACTTATGTAATAAATCTCAGTTAATGGATTACGGACTAGAACTAAGAGAGGTTAAGAAACTTGCCCATGGGTTACACAGCTAGGAAAAGTAGAGACAGGATTCCAACAAGATTCTTACTCCAAACTAACCCTTAACCACTAAATCCTCTGTAGAGATGTAGAAGGAGATGGAGATAGAAAAGAAGATTGGATACTCATCATAGCCTGATACATGGCTTCAAATATTCTGCAAAGGAATTTGAACTTTATACTGTATCTGGTTGGAAACAACAAATAGCTTTTGAGCCCAATAGTGATGCAATCACAGCAAAACATTAGGAAGGTTATTCAGGAGCTAGAGGCTGGGAGCCTGGCCAACAGGCTGGCACCACTGTCCAGGTGAAAGGTGCCAAGGATCTGCTTGGTGGCAGTAAGGACAGAGAGAAGAGACATTTCAGGAGTAGTTGACAGGATGAAGGGCCTGACTAACTGCAGACAGTATCTGGGAATGCCATTGACCAAAGTGACAACAGCCAGGGGTACAGTGAAGATGCTCTGTCAGCACTTAGAGCCATGGGACAGAATTCTCAGGGTTGGTGAAGTGGATGAGTTGTCTATGTCGGATTGATCATTGACTCCATAGTAAGCACAGATGAAGTCAAGAATCCAAAACAAATCACTCCCTGACTCCATTCAATGGTCTTTCCACTCTTGTGCCCAGTCCAAACTTCGTGGCAACCAGACCTGGTGCCCCCATAAAGCAGAGAGCCCTGCCATCTTGCAGGTCGTGCCCTTCATCCCCACAGCATTGAAACTCTCGCCTTCCTCATCCTCAACCCTCCAGGGACACACTCAGGACACCAACACCTACTTTCTGTGTCGGACACTGCGCTCTTTGGGGGTCCAGGTGTGCCGAGTCTCTGTTGTACCTGACGAAGTGGCCACCATTGCAGCTGAGGTCAACTCTTTCTCCAGCCGCTTCACTCATGTCCTCACAGCAGGGGGCATTGGCCCCACTCATGATGATGTAACCTTTGAAGCAGTAGCACAGGCCTTTGGAGATGAGCTGAAGCCACACCCTGAACTAGAAGCAGCCATCAAAGCCCTCGGAGGTAAGGGCTGGGAGAAGCTATCAATGGTACCGTCCTCTGCCCGCCTGCATTATGGTACAGATCCTCACACTGGTCACACCTTCAGATACCCACTGGTCTCTGTCCGAAACGTCTACCTCTTCCCAGGTATCCCAGAGCTGCTGCGGCGGGTGCTGGGGGGCCTCAAGGGTCTATTCCTAAATAAAGATGTTCAGTTTCACTTGCGAGAGCTATATGTGGCAGCTGACGAGGCCTCTATCGCCCCCATTCTGGCTGAGGCCCAGGCCCGCTTTGGACGCAGGCTTAGTCTGGGTTCCTACCCTGACTGGGGCAGCAACTACTATAAGGTGAAGCTGACACTGGACTCAGAAGAAGAAGGACCCGTGGAGGAATGCCTGGCCTACCTGACCGCCCGTCTGCCCCAGGGATCCCTGGTCCCCTATGTGTCCAACGCCGTGGAGCATGCCAGTGAAGCCGTATACAGACTCACCAAATCAGGTAGGGGTCCGCTGCCAAGGGGCAGGACATGCCAGACCATCAGTGCCACCCAGGTCCCAGAAACACAGGTGCTATTGGAGCCTTCTGCAAAGGCAGGAGAAGGTAGAAGATAGCTACAGCTGATTCATTCATTCTTTCAGTAAATACTGATTGCATGCCTCCTTTCACCAGCTCTGCCTAACAGGACAGCTGTCTGTCCCACTCGTATGGACCAACAGCTTCACAGGAAAAATACTCATTAAACATCGCCTTCATGCAGGCAATGTCAGTGACAATGATAAGGAAGATTTGGCCAGACCGGGAAGTAGACAAGTACACAGAGTATGTGAGCCTGGAAGAAAGCAGTGTGTGATTTAGGGGAATGGAAAGAAGCCAAAATCCCTGAAAGAAGAGGGAGCTGAGGTGTGTGCTGAGTGATAGGCAGGGGACATCTGCACAGCCCAGCAGGTGGCACAGAACGGCCAGGCTTTATCCCGGCAAGAGATCAAACACTAGACAGACAGGAACATCAGGGAGCTATCTTTTTTTTTTTTAAGATTTATTTATTTATACATACAAGAACTGGGGTACAGGCCAGAGTGCAGGGGCTGAGAGGATTCACCAGAGACAGAGTAGGGAGCATCAGGTGAGACATGAGAGGTCTGCCGCACCACGTGGGTCAGCTCCCTGGCCGGGGATCCAACTTGTGCTGTGGTGGCTGCAGAGAGCTTCATGGTGCTGTGCTTTAACCCCTTGCCCCACCAGGGAGGCCCCAGGAAGCTATCATGAAGGATGGTCAGCAAAGGCCCTGCTGCCTTGATGGTCACGTGTCTCTGTCTAAAGTCCTTCCATACCCTCCTGGCAGGGTCTTCTCTGGGAGACAAGGTGGCAGGCGCCCTGCAGACCATTGAGGCCGCTCTTGCTCGGTACAAGCTCAGCCAACTCTGTGTGGGTTTCAATGGGGGCAAGGACTGCACTGCCCTCCTGCACCTCTTCCATGCAGCTGTGCAGAGGTGAGCTCCCCAGAAGCAGGGCCCAAGGCTTCCTGTGAAGGAAGGGAAGGGGGTACCTGGGTCACGTAGGAGGGAGGCAACTGCGGTCACCTCTCACCGTGTTTATTGAGCATCCACCACATGCCTGGCCCTGGATGTAGGTGTGCAGGCCACCCTCCCTGACCACAGGGAGGCCACAGTCCTGCTAGGTAGGTGGGATTTACATGTCGAAACAGGTGTATGCACCACACTAGAGAAGTGACACATCAGAGCGGGTTTCCCAAAGGAAGTAGGTTCTGATGAATGAGAAAAGACAAGAAAAGGGGAAAGGGGAGTGCCCTCGTCCCAAGGGCCGATGAGAACAGTGCCAGCCCTCAGAGCACCTTTCCCTGCCAGAACTAGTGAGCCTATGGATTCTTCCCCTCCCTAGGAAATACCCTGATGCCCGAGACCCTCTTCAGATCCTGCATATCCGCAGCATTTCACCTTTCCCTGAGCTGGAGCAGTTCCTACAGGACACCATCAAGAGGTACCCGGCACCTGGGGATGTGGGCTTCAGAAGGGGCTGGCCGGGCCCACTCCTGACCCTCTCCTGGCTTCCTCCTCAGATACAGTTTGCAGGTACTGGAGGCAGAAGGTGACATGAAGCAGGCCCTGAGTGAGCTGCAGACACAGCATCCCCAGCTAGAGGCTGTCCTCATGGGTACCCGGCGCACCGACCCCTACTCCTGTAGCCTCTGTCCATTCAGCCCCACTGACCCCGGCTGGCCGTCCTTCATGCGCATCAACCCACTGCTGGTAATGGCCAAGAGGATGTATTGCCTTCAGCCTCACGTCCCCTGCCAGTCACTGCATCCTGGCTTGGGGGTAGGGGAGTTTGGATGGGGCTTGTATGAAAGGGCCCCATCTTCCCAGGAAGCCCATGCTGTTTGTTCATTTGTTCATGGTAGCCATGGGCCACTTACTTACACTAAATTATGATTCATTAAATTGAAATACAAATTACGAAAAGCCAGTAAATTGTATACCTTAAAAATTGAACTTGATGATATGTGAATTAGATCTCAGTGTTTTAAATTAAAGACAGTTAAGACTCGGTTCTTCAGTTGCATTCACCACATCTTAGGTGGCCACTGTGCAAAACGTCACAGACAGAACAACTCCATCAGCTCTAGGCAGCTCTGGCTCTCACACACAGCTCACTGTAGTGGAGGGTGTATTAGGAGGAGGACAGGACGAAGTCTTTCCCTTTCTCATTGCTTTGCCTGTGCAGAGCAAGATGTACCAAAGAATTGCGCAGCAGACCATCTGTGAGGCCCAGGGGGCAGAAGAGCCGTGAATGGACCCCTCCTGGGCAACGGGAGGTAGGTGTGGGAGGGGGAACACTTGTGACACTTCTGTGACTCTGACCTTCCAGGACTGGACCTACAGAGACATCTGGGACTTTCTCCGCCAACTCTATGTCCCATACTGTATCCTGTATGACCGAGGGTAAGAGTGCTTTAGGGCACAAAATGGTGAGGGGGACACACGAGGATGCTGGGACTGGGAGAGCCCACCCCACCACACTTGCCCTTCAGTCTCCCCACCTCCATTCTCTTGGCTCCAGGTACACATCCCTGGGAAGCCGGGAGGACACAGTGCGGAACCCAGCCCTGAAGAGCTTGAGTCCCGGGGGACGGCCCACTTACCGGCCAGCCTACTTACTTGAAAATGAAGATGAGGAGCGCAACTCCCGCATGTGACCTACTCCTGTCCACTCCAGGAGGGAAGGGAGCCGTCCTGGGCTGTAACTAGTCAATAAACTCCCTCCTGTGCCTGTTGCTCTGGCTCTGTCTTCCTGCTCCAGGGGATGGGAAAAGCAGAAGTAGGCCAGGCTTGCCAGCTCTGAGCTGGCCCCACTCATCTAAAGGATCTGGGATGGGTGGAACAGGCTGGACAGGAGCTCTCGGGGCTGAGTCTAGAGGTCATCAGCAGGCGCGTACCAGGGTGCAGGAGAAGGGAGCAGCCAAGCTGGGCGTCCGAGGCTTTGAAGCCCTGGGGAAGTGAACTGGGCTGGAAAATGGAGGCGCATTGGTGAGCAAGAGCAAGAGGTGAGATGGCTGGAAGTACCTACCACCAGGAGCTTGTGCTGTCTCTGGCTGTGAGGGAAAGTGAAGAGTCCATCCTGCTGGCTGCTCGTGTCCCTGCCAGTTGCACTCTGAAAAGGCCTCTGGCCCCTGTGGCCTCACAGGAGCCACTCTATGGAGAATGAAAGCTGGAGTGGTCGGGCCCTCCTCCTAGCCCCAGCCCTCCATCTCCGTTCACAGGGGCTGAGTCAGCCCATTCTGGGGCCCAGAACCTTTCTATCCAGAACCCTGGAGAGACACAGGGCCTCTGCCCTAGTCATGAGGTCTGAGGGGGGCGGAGGCAATTGAGAAAAGCTACTGGGGGTGGCCACATAGCCTGTCTCTTGCCACCTTTGTTCCGACTAGAGACGGGCTGGTGGGCTGGGGATGAGCACAGGCAGGCCCAGGGCTTTCAAGACCCTCAGACACAGGAGAGCCATGTAGAAGTCTGGTGTCTTCTGTTCAGTTTCCCACTCTAACAAGGGCCTCACAGAAGACCCTACCCAAGCTGGATCCCCCAGCCCGCTCACTGGGAAGAAGCTGGCTTTTCCACCTTCCCCACTCCAACCCAGGCACAGTGAGTCAGGAAAACTGGCTTTCCTTTCAGTTCCATCCAAGATGCTCTCCTTTCCTCCCTGCAGGGTCTGCAGCCTCCCTAAGACCTTTCAGGGTTGGCCTTTTCTGATTCCCTTTTAGACATGTAGAGCTTTTAGCCTCAAGCCCTATTTATTATACAGGTCAGTGACTCTCAAACACAGATACTAGGAGGCAGCCCACTTCTGGCACTAAGAGGCTAAAGTAAGATCAACCATCTGGGCTGGGGGGCTTGCTGTTCTCTGGCATGCAGAGCATCGGGCCTGCCTGCCAGGTCTCAGTGGGGTCCTAGCCAGCAGGCCCAGCCTCTCCCTCCCAGAGGTCCACCAGATTGGGAGCTGCAAAGGAGGCCCAGCAATGAGGCAGTGCTAACAGATGGCACAGTCTCAAAGTGGGAACCACACTTTACTCATCTGGCTCATTCTTGGTCAAACACAGCTGGCTCAGGAGTTCTTGACTGGGTGGCAGGTGGATCCTAGAGAAGAAACCGGGAAGCTGAGGCAGATTTTGCCATAGAAGCTGCAACCATGTCTACTGTTTGTCCTCCCTTGCCCACCTGAGTAATGCCAGCCATGGTGCCAGCAGGGGGGCATCCATGCTGCCCTTTAATACAGCAGCTCTGATACACCAGCAGCAGAGAAGGATGTAGACGACTTCCTGCGGGGTCTAATGCAGGCCCTCCGCTCTATGCCCATGTTCATGACAGGCACCTGGAACCCAGCTTTTTGCTGGGCCCACAGAGAGAGAAGGGCAGGGCCTGGGTTAGGGGGTATGTCCTGGACCGCATGCGGACAGCAATTCTGAGGGTGTGGGAGCCACCCCCAGTAGTTTTTCTCAATTGCCCCCGCCCCCCTCAGACCTCATGACTAGGGCAGAGGTCCTGTGTCTCTCCAGGGTTCTGGATAGAAAGGTTCTGGGCCCCAGAATGGGCTGACTCAGCCCCTGTGAACGGAGATGGAGGGCTGGGGCTAGGAGGAGGGCCCGACCACTCCAGCTTTCATTCTCCATAGAGTGGCTCCTGTGAGGCCACAGGGGCCCGAGGCCTTTTCAGAGTGCAGCTGGCAGGGACACGAGCAGCCAGCAGGATGGATTCTTCACTTTCCCTCACAGCCAGAGACAGCACAAGCTCCTGGTGGTAGGTACTTCCAGCCATTTCACTGCTTTGCTCTTGCTCACCAATGTGCCCAGACACAGCTCCCCAAAACCTCAGAGGTACCAAACATGTTCCAAGTGGCCCCGGGATCTCCCTCAGCACACTCTGGCTTCTCTTGGGACCCACTTATTGCCCTCTTCTTTCTCCCTGGGGAACCAGCCTGGAGATGGAGTTTAGGGCCCGCCTGCCACTCCCAGGAACTGGTGCTTCCTCAGCCTCCTTAGTTAACTACTTTTTTTTTTTTTTTTAAGATTTATTTATTTGTGCATACAGAACTGGGGTGCAGGCCAGAGGATCAGGGGCGGCGAGAGGCTTCACCAGAGACAGAGGGGGGAACAGAACAGGCAGATCGGTGAGGGGAGCAGCGGGCAGGCCAGGAGAGGTCTGCCACGCCATGTGGTCACCTCTGGGGCAGGCGGGAATCGAACTCATGCTGCAGCAGCTTTAGCTTCTCAGTGCTGTGCTTTAACCCACTGTGCCACCAGGGAGGGCCAGTTAACTACTTTTTCCTCTGGGCTTCTTTTCTTTGTTTCTGTAAAGATAATAAACTAGCTTCACACTAGTAAAGAATTCCTATGGTAAAAAGTAAGCCTCCCTTACTCTCAAACCTACCCTGCAAGCCCCAGCTCACCTCCTTGCAGGCAGCCATGGTTACCATTTTGCTGGTGCCCCTTCCAGATAGTCTAGTCATAGACTGTATCTTCACTCCTTTAGCAAGTGTGGAACATCTGCACGTCAATCTGGGTGTTTTGAATCCAGCGGAGAACAGAATAAATCCCTGTCATCACCAAACTGACATTCTAATAGGTAAAGCTAGAAAATGAATTATAACCTAAGTAAGCTCATCAATTTTATTAGCCCATGGGTGGTGTGGTAAAAAAGAAAATGAGCTGGGGATGGGAGGGACAGGTCCTGGAGCACCTAGTAAGCCTAGTAAGCCTTGGTGGAAACTTGAGCTTTTCTGCTGAGTGAAATGAGGAACTATTGCAAGGTGTTGAGCATGAACAGGTTTTTTATTTGGAAGGCTCACTGGCTACTATGTGAAAACTCTAGATAATCAGGGGTAGATGCAGGGGAACTATTAGGAGGTAATGGGCACAATCCAAGTCAGGCACGCTGGTGGATCAGAGCAGGCCTGAAGCAGCAGCAGTGGCGAGAAGCATTTGCCCTTGCTTTATGCTTTGCTCTGTCCCCTCCACGCCTTACACTGGCGCCACACCAGTATGCTTAGAACCTGCCTCTCACAGCAGTGTGGCAATCCAACTCCAACTCCAGGCTTTTTCCCTTTTTTTAAAGATTTTTTTTTTAAGACTTATTTATTTATGCATAGAAGAACTGGGGCACAGGCCAGAGGTGTGGGGGGCAGGGTAAAAGGATTCACCAGAGACTGAGTGGGAGCAGAACAGACAGATTGACTGAAATACACTGCTGAGGGAGCAGTGGGAAAGTCAGGAGGGATCTGCTGAGCCATGTGGGCCACCTCCCTGGCCGGGGATCGAACTCGTGCTGCAGTGGCTGCAAATAGCTTCATAGTGCTGTGCTTTAACCCCATGCACCACCAGGGAGGGCCCGCAAGTTATTTCTTATCTCTGGTATCCACAAATGCAGGTTAGTGCTCCAGCCTAGTTCCTTCAGGACCCCGTCTCCACACTGGGGCAAAGCAGCAAGGAGTCAAGTCCTGAGCAATCAGAGAGAGGTTAGTGGTAGAGGAGGATGCAGCATTCACTCTCCATCTTTATCTGGGGCTCCTGCCTTCCCTGCTTATGCCCTCTTGACTGGTTCCAATACTTCCCCTACTCCAATGCTGACCTTCTGCCTTCTTTTTCCTTTCCTAAGAAAGGGGCAGTGCCTACAGGTCCCTCCTTGAGTCTGAGTTCTGGGCTTATGAGCCTTTGCCAGGGGAGGGGATGTCTGGCAAAGACCGCTGGGGAAGTGGTTGGTGGTGGGAGGCACAGCCCAGGCTGTGGCCTGTGGTAGGAGGGTGGTGGGTAACTGAAGGAAGGAGGGGTGGAGAGACAGCCAGAGACCCATGTAGAGTGTCAGAAATACAGAGAGCTCTGTAGGTGAAGAAACTGAGGAGAGCAAAAGAGACAGAGACTTCACATGCCAATCTGAGAGCCCTTGCACACTACAGAGGCCACGGAGCCTCACAACGGCTACTTCAAAAGTAGGTAGGACAAGGGCAATTATTCCATATTAATGTGAAAGAAACAGGCCCAGAGATGTAAAGTGAGCTGTTATATATCCCCAGCACACTCCAGGAAAGTAATTTAGTGAAACCAGATTCCAGAGTCTCAAACACAGGGCTTCTCTCAGCCTGCCCCCCTCTTCCAAGCTGGTGGGGATGGTGGCCTAAATGGCATGGCAGGCAGGGCCAAGCCAGCAGAAGTGTGGCCAGTAGGTGTTACCATCCCCATATGCACCTAATCCAAGCTCTCCCACTTCTGCCTCAGTTCTAAGCTTCTCTTATTCTTGGTTGTCCTGCTCATTCTGGGGGTCGAAGCTACCTCCTTGTCACTTAATCCAAGCCAGGAGATGGCTGGTCCACAATGCCTACTACTCTAGAAGGGGAAAGAAATGCAGCAGCTTCCCTTCAAGTCTCTCTTCCCAACTAGATTAAGTGTAAATTTGGGTTGTACTTGTCCAAACTGCTCTCTCAGGAACTCAACGGGATGGGAAGTTAGAGGGGAGCAGAATGCCAAGTTAGGAAGGAATGGGCAAGAACTCACCTATCCTGTTGTGCGCTGGGACCCCCCTAGTGGTGGTTAGGTGGTAAGGGAATGAGCTGAGTAAAATGGGGGAAGAGTCCAAGCAGAGCTGGAAGTGAGCCCTAAGTGCCACAGCGTGAGGGAGCGTGGCCTGATATTCAGGCCTCCTATGGACTACACCAGATTTAAGGCCCTCAATAGTGAGCAAAAGTGGAGAGGGGTCGTGCAGAAGTGGTGCGAGGAGCCGCAAAATAAACTGGAAAGCATGGTAATGATCATGGGAGGGTCCTAGGTTTTCCCACCGACAGGTGGAAAGGAGGGTGTGGTAGTAGTTTGACGGCCGGCGCCCGATCGCAGACCCCCAAGGGCTTAGGTTCTTATTTGCCTTCTGATTTGCATCTCGTTGGGACTAAAGTTATTTCCCCTTCCAGACAAGAAATCTCCACCCCCTTTCTCTGTTACTCCCTTCCGAGACTTTCTATTCCAGAGTCTTTGCTAACTTCGGGAGCGTACCCATTTTCTGCCCACCCACCCCCACGCCCGGGCCGACCTCCACCCCCAGGCACTCTCCACCTTTCGCCCTTAGCTCTCTCCCTAACCCAGCTTCAAAGCAGCAACCCGAACGCCTACCAGGGTTCGAGGAGCCGGGGATCTGCGCCGCCTGGTGGCAGGAGGCGAGGGCAGAGGGGTTCTGCTTCGTCTTCTCTGGGATGTGGAGTTTTGGAAAATGTTCCCCCGAGCTTCCTGAGGCTAAATTTATCTCCCCCGGCCCCGGGGGGCGCAGAGATCCCGGTGACGATTAGCGCTGCGCGGCGGCAGGCTCCCACCCAGAGGCCCGGAATAGGCGCCGAGTTATAAATAGTGCAACCCGCAGGTGTGGGGGGAGTCGGCGGGAGGGGGGCAACCCTGGCAGCCACGGCCCCTTCAGGTGGGTTGGGCGGTCGCGGTGGGGGCGCCAGGCGGCTGCGGGGAGGGGGGGAGGTTACTGCGGTCTGAGCGCCCCCAGCGGTTTCCTGGGCGGCAGGTTTTTCGAGGGAAGCGGAGGCAGCCTGTAAAAGGGGGGTTGTGGGGAAGAGGTGGGCGCCCGATGCAAGCTGCGCTCCGCTTCCAGCTCAGCCCCCCATGTTCCAAAACAGGCCCCCAGACCCCTTGGGTCAGGAACCCGCCCAGGCAGAACCTAGCTTTCCTTCCTGCCAGAAGCCCTCTCCTAGTTCTGCATCTAACTTCTGCAGCAGCCTCTAGGCACACGTGGCCCAGCCAGTCTGAGCACCTGGCTGTCATTCAGGTGGCTGGCTGTCCCGAGCCCAGGTGTATAATTGGTCCTAGGAGGGGTTAACTCCCATGGGGCTCTCTTTCCTCTTTGGTCAAACACCTTACTCTCAGGGTTTTTACCCACCTCCTGCTAATTTTTCTCCCAAAATTAAGATTCAGCTGATCACCTGAATACCTAGTGAGAACGTGCAGTTCTGGGACACTACCCTATTCCCCAGGAGGCCCCAGAAGGCCCTACACCTGCCCTCCAGTTCTCAGTTCCAGTTGGGGCTTCGTGGCAAGGCGGAGGTGGAGGCAGGCCCCAGGGGCCCAACAGAGTTTCGTGGGAGGGGGCAGGCCCCCCAGTCAGCGTTTCTTGGCCAAGGCTGTCTCCGTGGTTTGGCGCTGGCTGGGCCCAGAGTTGGAGGGAGGTAGGCGGGAATTTTAAGTCGGGGTTCCCCCTCTGACTTCTGAGCTATGAGAAGAGCTGCGTGGACAAGAAAAGACAGACTCGGGAGGGGTAACTGAGCATCTAACAGGACGTTCCCGGACTGTGGAAACTCAAGTGGGGCAATGTGGTCACTGAAAGATCAAGGTTGGGCCCAACAAGACGCAAGAAGCGACCCCCAGAGATGGGGAAGTAGGAGCGGGAGGCAATGGGCTGGTGCCAAGGTGCCCGCCCTTCTGCTGCCTCTGGAAGCCCCGGTTCTGCCTTCCCAGAGCTACTTTCTAGCCAACCCCTTCCTTCTGCGGCCCCCTCCGTATTACAGAAGCCCCCTCTCCACTTCGCTAGTGAGTCTGGCACTGCCGTCTGGTCCCTGGTACGGCCTTTCCCCAGGCTAGCGCGACCACGATGGCCGGAGGAAAGAGGAAAAAACTCTGGCCTGGACCCCACCAGCTCCTGGCCTTCACAGACCAGAATCTGTCCGGCGGGGCCGATTTGAAAACCCGGAGCTGCGACCAACCTGGGACCCAAGGGGGACAGGGACGATCGGAAAACCCGGAGCGGATTACCCAAGCGAGCGCGCCCCGTGCCTGCTGCTACCCTCTCCGTCCTATAGCCCCCCTAATTCTCCAGTGAGATAATGTCTGGGGTGGGGGGCTGTTTGGTTTGGCCTGGACTCTCCGGGGTGCCTCACACTTTCCGCCCCTGGCTGGGGCGCAGGGCAGCGGCCCCGAGGCTGAGTCACGGCCGAAGAGAGAGGGAGGGAGGGACCGGGACTCCGCCCCTCCCTCTGCGCGGGGATCCCGGGTCAGCCCGGGTGAGGGCCAGGGCCCCCCTGGCGCCGCCCATTGTGGTCCAACAGGTTGAGCTGGTGTCCCGCGGAGCCACCTGCTGGAAGGGGAGGGAGGCCCCCTGCGAAGGGGGTTGGGAAGGAGAAAGCGAGTCCGACCCGGTTCGGCCAGGCGGGCCACGGGAGAACGGAACGTGGCCAGAGGTAGCCGGATTTGATTCCGTTTTACACTAGTGGGAGGGGCTCTTTGGGGGTACGTAGCACCGAAGACCCAGTTGGAAGTGGCCCCCACAGGCTACGTTCCTTAGTTGGGGGGCGGGCACTGAAGTCCTATCCTGGTTCCTCACACCCCAACCCACACACACACACCCTAAAACATCCATACCCCCCTCGCCACCTCGGTCTCTGAATAGATCGCAGTCAAGACAGCTCTTCTCGGAGACTCAGTTTCTCTACCTCGGGAACCCGCGGGATGGAGGCCGGGAGCAGGAGCGTGAGCGCGCCTCCCCCTCTGCCTTGGCGGACTCGGTCCCTCCCCTCTGACAATGCCAAGGCCGCAGCGGGCACCGGCTGAAGCTCAGAGGCTGCTTGCCCAGGGCGCCGTTCCCTCCCCGCGGGGCGCCGTCACGCGTGGGGAGGGACGCAGGGTGCCCGCAGCCTCAACTCCCCCGTCCTGGGGGGGGCGGAGGGGGGAGGAGGCAGAGCTAAAGGCCTGGTGGCTCCCCTCCCCCGACCTCCGGGGACCCTGACCTGATTACAGCCCCTTATGGAACACCCCTCCCTCAATACCCTAAGTCCTCGCCTCACCCCCACATAGCCTATCTTAGACTTCAGACCCTTGCCTCCCGAGTTGCTGACCCTACGTAAGCCCCTCTAGGAGTAGTGGGAGCCCTAGATGGGGGTGCACGGTTCCCTGCCCGCTGCGGACACTGCCCCCTCCCTTCTCCCCTCCTCCAGGTTGCGGGCCAGCCCCTCTGCTCCGCCCCCGTCCTGACCGAATGCGGGGTGGAACCCACTTAGGATGGGCGTGTATTCGAGCCAATGGGAGGACTGGGAGGTGGATTGTAGGGGCGGAGCGAAGCGGCGGCGGAGGGCTGGATGGGGGTCGGGGGCGGAGCTCGGGTTAAGGTGGACGGAGTGAGATAGGGGCTAGAAAAGAGAGAAAGGGAGGGGGAGAGGGGAGACAGCGGCAGGTGAAGAGAGAAAGAGAGAGGGAGAAGGAGAGAGAGAGAAAGAAGGAAAGGAGGGAAAAGAGAAGGGTGGGAAAAGCTCGGAGAGCAAAATAAGAGCTTGGAGGAAGGGAGCGAAAAAGGAGGGAGGGACCCATCTGTGCCCTGCAGGGACTGGCTGGACCGAGGGGTTGAAGTTTATGTCCTTATTGGGCGGAGGGAGGGGGACCTGGGGG